TATTGTTTTAAATTCTCTGACAAGTGTTACATGACTGCAAACAACTAAAATTGTGCTGCTCACACAAAAACATTTATCACAACATTGCTGTTCCCAGTGTTAGGGAAAGGCAAATGATAGCTTGAAAAATGGCGACTGTGGCAAACTGTTAATCTGATCTCAAATTCTTTCCAGCCCTTGAATTAAGTCTTAAAGTCTCTTTTATACGCCATTTAAATTTGTTCTCTGAGTCTCGCATTTCTTTCAAAGCCTAAATGTAGAATTTGTTCTAACAGCCGAGAGAAAACAGGCCACTAGCAGTGTACCAAACTTATAAAATTATATACCTCTTACCAACCCAGCTCAAAGTCTATACTGCAAGTTACAGACCAAGTTTTGTTCACCTTTCTTTAATAGTGTGGATATAAAGGAAAACATTTTAAGCTTCAACTACAGTAGAATTGGTACATGTTAATATTTTATTAATAAGCATCCCTTGATTAAACTTCCTCCTTCCAATGAGTGCTTCTCCTTCTAGCTGAAATTTTGAATGAGTGCCTGGGTGCTTATTTGAGGAAATGTACCTTACAGTAATTCATGTTACATGATTATGTTCCACTTACTCGTGTCATAAAGTGGTTGTGAATACAGTTGATAAACTGCATTAATTTGAACCTGAACACACACATTTTATGCTGCAATTTCTGATCAGGAGGTGACCCTGAGCCTGATTCAGATGTCTGCCCATCATCCTCTGTTTCATTCTCATCATCAGTGTCATCAGTCTTCATCTGACGTCTGTTGCCTCTGAGGTCTAACAGACATGACCACCATCAGATGTTAAGGAAGAAAATGTACTGTACCCTCACTTTGCAGACCAGGAAAAAAATCAGTATTTTATGACAAAACAAATGACAGGATGGGTGGGGGGGAGGGGGGGGGAGATAAGGCAGTCAAAATCTCTTTACTTCCTGTACCACTCCACCCTAAACTTTTAACTATATCCCTAGTCCTTTAGTGCTAAACACTACATCAGTGACGCACTTAGCTTTGCCATGTGTGCCACTTTTTTTCATACCACATTTTGACGTCATCTGTGACCTTTTACTGAATTGATGCACAGTAAAATGGAATCTATTATTGTTAAACAGTAAAAGTATACTGCATCCTTAAAAAGAGTTAAAAATTTGAAAAAAAAGTAATTCAAAACCTGAAAATCTAAGCTCATCCAGGCTCCACTTGGCTTGTTTTAGTTCTAAGAGAAACAAAAACACAAGATTGTAGAGCTTCTGACAGGAACTGTCAATTATGATACTGACTGGCCATGGTGCCTGCAAGAAATATGATCAAACACCCAATTATGATGTTTTACAGTTTGGCATTAAATAACAGACATTGGTGTGAGGCTCTGAGAACTAACATATATGATATGAGATAAACCATTTTACTCTCAAGATGTCACTAATAATTCTCCTTACTGAGTACTGTACAGTTCTTATCATGTGATTTTAGAGAATTTGGTACTGGATCAGGTGATAATCTCCTAAATGATATTTTTCTATATTCTTACCACTTGTCAGCTGGATATTGAAATTGTAAGGAGAAATTCTTTCTTGGTCACTCATGAGTGTTGAAGGGTTAATTTCTAAGGCAGCCTCATATTAAAACAAGGGTAACATCTTGTCATAATTTCTGTCAATAGACAGTACATGCAAGCTTGCATACAAACATCACAATACTGTTTTTTTTTAATCAAATCCACATATTTTGGTTCTATCCCTCTAACAGTGTGTAACTTTTCACAAAGTAGATTCAACATTAACCATGCAGGGCAAGATGTGAAATTTCAAATTTCACCTTCCCAAAAAAATCTAATGACTTTTTAATTATGCGGCAGGTATCAAATGAATGTTCTTCTAAAATATATCTGTGCAAAACAGTAAAACTGAACCACATATCAGTGTTTACTGATACTACACATGACACAAATCTGAACCTTTTGGTAAATCAGTGATGGCTTCTACTTAAGTACAAAACCAACCCTGTAGTTTAAAGTCAGTCCTTGAAGTGATGCACCCAACTGTTTCCTGCTTGATGCACCATTCGATGAAAAACCAACAACCAGCCTACAAATCAAGATGGTAAAATGTGTAAACTATATTCATTCCACTAACATCATCTACATATCACTTCTCCACACCATCTTCTATACATTTCTTATCACTTTGGATGTGAGAATTTGTTGTCTAATCAAAAAATATCCCTTGTTGATATTTTTCTAACTAAAGAAAGTCAACAAGAAAGTGAGGAAAAAATATTCACCTTTCAACAGCATCTGGAAAGCGAGGTTGTAGAGCTTCTTGTATTAAACTATTCAAGAATGAAATGTCCTGCCACGTTACGCGATGCCTTGCCTGTTAAAACAGCTAAGAGTTACTAGATAACTACTTCTGACTATTCTTAAACTGATCAACTGTTGTTAACCCTTTAACTCCCAAGATCTGATTGTTAATTCTCTCCTGTAGCTGCTACACATTTCCTTGTAAATTAGTTATGATAACT